GACCCAAAGGGGCGGGCGTGCGATTGGCCCGCTACCCCTGCCTTGCCGCGCGACTGCCCTGCGACGGGCCTCCTATCGGGTACCCTGGCTCAACTAAGCGATCCTCTCTCATGGCAAAATCGAACAAGTCTAATCAGAGGCAGGATGTATTTTGCAAATCAAAACTCTTGGGCTTCATTTGATGATTGATATAGCATAAAGTGACATGTTTGGAACACTGTCTCTCTATTGCATGGTGTATGGTTTATTATACACGAAAACCTGGGGTCAGTTTGCAGTAAGATGCAGTAAGTGTTAGTGAAGGTGTAAAATGCGTGATTTATGTGTTGAGAATGACATCGAGTAGGTTATTGAGAAAAGCGAATCACGGCTTGATTTTCAACTTCACATGCAGTAGTAGAACTTTTAAAACCATTAGACAAACATCGGTCTTTCAGTAAGTGGATGACGAATGCCTGAAAATGAACCTGTTTAGCACTTCAAAGAACTTTCAGATTTGTTTTCAGGAAGGATAGAAGGCATAAAGCACAAGAACCAACATTTTTAGAAGCACTAAATTATTGTTCGATTCACTTGGTTTGTACTCCTCCAGCAGACTTCTAAACAAATACCTATCAGTATGCACTATCTCGAAATTTCATTATGACTGCACTGTTTCTAAAGGCAGTGAGCACGAGTTTGAGTATACACTAGAACGTATGCACAGCAGTGGGAACGGAAACCAGGCACCACTAAAGACGATGTTTTGCGTCCTAACAGCGATGGATGCTCTGGTAGCAGCGCAGTTATATTCCAGCCCAGAAGTAGCCCCGCCCCAAATTGGCTCCACCCCTGGGTTAGCTGTTCGAAATCTATGTCGTCCTAAACCCTGGTTTTTATTTCACTTATATGGCCATTTCGTAGCCACTGCCTTCAAGCCAGAGTTCCCAAATAGTTTTTTTTGAGAGCACCTAATTTTTTAGAATTGTTTATAAGATTTATGGCCACTTTCGTTTTCAAACCCACGGATATTGCAGGCGGAGGGACAGACCAACTTGAAGGCGTTAGGTGGGAACGCATTTGGCGGTGATCCGAGCAATCCTCATAGCGCGCAGAAGAGTGTGGTTGCACCGCATCTCAACGCCCAGTCCCCAGAGACGATTCCACGGTTGAACAGCTCCGCCTCCCAGCTATTGCAGCCAGTGCCTTTGAGTTCGCACCGGCAAAAAGGCCTAAAACCGACATTCTAGCACACCTAACAGCCACAACAGCGATTTCCTGGCTTAGCTGTGATGATCACAGTAGCCGATTAGTTTCTAAGCGAGGCTGGCTAGCGGAGGCAAAACGCTCTCAGAAGAATCTTAGCTCTCGAGTTTTATAAGATTTTAGTTGTTGACTTTATGATTGGATTTCAAACAATTTTCAAGTGAACCGAAAACCCACCGGTTGTTGCTCCTCTATCGCCGTCTTCACATCCAGTTCGTCAGTAGTAGTGAATGTCCTCTTGTTGTGTTTCACCACTTCGAGTTCGACATGAGTCTGGGAATCGGCCCCCTTTGCTCGTATTGGGGTAGTAACGCGTTTCTCCTTCTTATGAACCGTGGTTACAATACGTTCCTCTGTCGTTCTACGCACAGGGGTCCCTCTACTCGAGCCTGCCCTCCCAGTTTCAACGTCAAGATCATCCAGCACAGAACACCTCGTTGTCGATTTCTCCTTCTTTACCTCGGTAAACTTTGTGACAGTTGTTTTCTTTCCCCCTTGGGTCGGCCCACTTGCAGTCGGGTCCATCGTTGCTGTTTCTTCAGGTTTCGAGAGTCCTCCTGCAGCTGCCCTCACCTCCTTTGGCGGGGTAAGAGAATTCATAAGTAAGTTTTCTTGTGGTTGCTTCTCTTTAGCGGGTGGTTTCGTAAGTGAATCCTTGCTTTTTTGTTCTGTAGACTTCGTAATCGACTGTTCATTCTTTGGTTCAGTAGAAGGTAATGTGGGTGGGGCTTCCATTTTTTCATTTTGTATAGAACTTTCCTTCTTCACGTGCTTTTCTTCTTCTGTGATCGTCGTGACAGCTGCGCTCTTCTTTTGTGATTCTGTCGACGCTTTCTTTGGTTCTGTAACATCTTTGATAGCCGAATCACTGGTCTTCATCGTGCTTTCTGGCATCACACCCGAGCTCTCTTTCTTGGCTTTTGCGAAAGGTTTTGTAGCCAAATCCTCGCTCTTCGCTGGGGTGGCTGGTTCCTTCTTGGCTTCTGCGGAAGCTCTTGTAGCCAAATCCTCGCTCTTTATCGGGGTGGTTGGCTCCTTCGGCAAACCCTCCTGCTTTTGTTGGTCAGCGGGTGCTATTGTGGTTACCAGAAGGGAACCATGGTAGGAACCACTGATCAGGTTCTTGGCTGTGGTCGGCGTGACGACAGTGCTCTCTCCCTTCGCAGGGGGTTTCACATTTGAACTTTCCTTCTTGGGTTCTGAAACATCTTTGATAGCCGAATCACTGCTCTTCATCGTGCTTTCTGGCATCACACCCGAAGCACTCGTGGTGAGTATGCTTTGTCCCGTCGATGGTTTGGTGACAGATCCTTCCTTCTTCGATTCTGCAGACGGTTTCACAGTCGAGCTTTCTTTCTTGGGAAGCGGACCATCTTTGATAGCCGAATCACTGGTCTTCATCGTGCTTTCTGGCATCACACCCGAGCTCTCCTTCTTGGCCTTTGCGAAAGGTTTTGTAGCCAAATCCTCGCTCTTTATCGGGGTGGTTGGCTCCTTAGGCAAACCCTCCTGCTTTTGCTCGTCAGCGGTTGCTATGGTGGTTAGCCAGAAGGTAACCATTGTAAGATCCACTGATCAGGTTGATGGTTGTGGTCGGCTTTACGACAGCGCTCTCTCCCTTCGAGGGTTTCACAGTCGAGCTTTCTTTGATAGCCGAATCACTGCTCTTCATCGTGCTTTCTGGCATCACACCCGAAGCACTCGGGGCGGTTATGCTTTGTCCCGTCGCTTTCGTAGTGGAGCCCTTCCATCATGGCTTCATCAGGTTTTGGCTTGTTTTCCCGCTGGAGTCCTGAAACTCTCCTTTCCTGATACGGTAGGAGGTTTCGCAATCGAGCCGTCCTTTGGCTTTTGTGGTTCAGGAGGTTTCTTGGTTGATTCCGCGCTCTTAGATTTACTAGGAGGTTTCACTGATGAATGCTTGCTCTTTGATTTGCCCTTTCGTTTCGTGCGATGTTTCTTTTTGGCGCTCGTGGAACGCTCCACACTCGATTCTTTTTTCTTTTCTTCTGTAGACGGTTTGCTAGCCGATTCCTTTGCTTTTTTCTGGGGTGACGGGTTTCACAGTCGAGCTGTCTTTCTTCGGTTCAGCAACGTCTTTGATAGCTGATTCACTGCTCTTCATTTTGCCGGCTGGTATCATCTCTGAGCTCTTCTCTTTCTTGGGTTCTGTAGATTTCTTAGTCGATTCCTTGCTCTTTGTTTTGGAGACTGGTTTCATAACCGAGCTCTCCTGCGAAGGAGACCTTGTAACTGTGGTTGTCTTTTTGATCTCCGTGGTCGTCGTGACAACTGTGCTCTTTCCTTTCTTATCAGTGGATGTTTTCGTTGTCGAAGCTTTACTCTTCGATTCAGTGGGAGGTTTCATCAATGACTTGCTTTTTGATTTGCTCTTTCGTTTCGTACGATGCTTCTTCTTCGAGCTCGTGGAATGCTCCATACTCGACTCCTTCTTTTGTTCTGTTGGAGGTTTCCTGGTCGATTCTTTGCTTTTTTCTGGGGTGACGGGTTTCACAGTCGAGCTGTCTTTCTTAGGTTCTGCAACATCTTTGATAGCCGATTCACTGCTCTTCATTTTGCCGGCTGGTATCATTTCCGAGCTCTTCTCTTTCTTGGCTTCTGTAGGTTTCTTAGCGGTTTCTTTGCTCTTCGAGGGGGTGAGTAGTTTCATAAAGGAGCTTTCCTTCTTGGGTTCAGTGGGAGGTTTCCTAATCGATTCTTTGCTTTTTGCTCTAGTGACGGGTTTAACAATCGAGCTTTCTTTCTTGGGTTCTGGAACATCTTTGATGGCCGATTCACTGCTCTTCTTTTTGGCGGCTGGTTTCACAGCCGAGCTATCTTTCTTGGCTTCTGTGAATGGTTTTGTAGCCAAATCCTCGCTCTTTGTTGGGGTGATCGGTTCCTTAGGCAAACCCTCCTGCTTTTGCTGATCAGTGGTCACAACAGTGGTTACCTTCGTGGTCGTGGTCGTAGTGACGGTTGTGCTCTCTCTCTTTCCATCAGTCGGTGGTTTAGTGATCGATTCTTCCTTCTTCGGTTCTACAGAGGGTTTCGCAGTCAAGCTCTCCTTCTTCGGTTCTGGGACTTCTTTGATAGCCGTTTCACTGCTCTTCATGGTGCTTTCCGGCATCACACTCGAGTCCTCTTTCTTGGGTTCTGTAGGTTTCTTAGTCGATTCTTGACTCTCTGATTTGCTAGAAGGCTTCCTCTTCGAATGTTTGCTTTTAGATTTCATTTTACGTTTAGAGTGCTTCTTTTTCGAGCTAGCCGAACGCTCAACACTCGACTCCTTCTTTTTTCTTTCTTTCCTGGTAGATTCCTTACTCTTTGGTGTGACTGATTTCATGAGCGAGCTATCTTTCTTAGGTTCTTTAACATCTTTGATGGCCGTTTCACTGCTCTTCATTGTGCTAGCTGGTATCGGACCCTCCTGCTTTTGTTGATCAGTTGTTGTAATAGTGGTTACCTTCTTGGTCGTGGTCGTCGTAACGACTGTGCTCTCTCCCTTCGAATCAGTGGATGGCTTAGTGATCGGTTCCTCCTTTTTCGGCTCTGCAGGAGGTTGCTTAATTTCTTTTTTGGGTTCTGGTACATCTTTGATAGCCGATTCACTGCTCTTCTTTTTGGCGGCTGGTTTCTCAACAGACCTCTCTTTCTTGGCTTCTGTGAAAGCTTTTGTCGCCAAATCCTCGCTCCTTATCGGGGTGGCTGACTCCTTTGGCAAGACCTCCTGCTTTTGTTGATCAGTGGGTGTTAAAGTGGTTACCAGAAGGGAACCATTGTAAAAGCCACCGATCAGGCTATTGGTTGTGGTCGGCGTGACGACAGTGCTCTCTTCCTTCGCAGGGGGTTTCACAATTGAGCTTTCTTTCTTGGGTTCTGGAACATCTTTGATAGCCGAATCACTGCTCTTCATTTTGCCGGCTGGTAACATTTCCGAGCTCTTCTCTTTCTTGGGTTCTTTCTTTGGTTTAGCAGGAGGTTCTTCTAGCTTTGCTGTTTGATCAGTAGTTGTAGTAGTGACCACTTTCTTTGTCACCACTTCCACTTGTTTCGTTCCACTGGTAGAAGACTTCGCCTCTGCCTTCGTTTGCACTGCAGGCTTAGGCACAGCGTAGTCCTTTTCTATGAGTGAGCGCGATTTCCTGTCACGTGACTTCGACTTCCTCGGCTTTTTGGAAGACTTCTTACTTGGTTTCGCTTTGGGAGCAGGCGCTGCGGTCTCCACAGGAGGGGCTGTTTTGACTGGTGTTTGTTTCTTTACAATAGCTTCTTCAGTTGTTGTTGTGGTTTGCTGCTTGGCCACTTCGACCTTTGTCGCTACAGGAGGGGGGAGTTCCTTTTCTGGAACCGGTGGCGGCGCAGCTTTTGCAGTTGGAGGTTCCTTTTCTGGAACCGGTGGCGGAGCTTCTTTTGCAGTTGGAGGTTCCTTTTCTGGAACCGGTGGCGGCGCAGCTTTCTCCTCCACTGGAGCTGCTGCGGGAACCTCAGGTTTTGTTTCCTTCTTTGCTTCTTGAACTTTCTGAGCTCCCTGTTCTGTCAGGTCATTAGGTGGCACTGGACTACTTTTCGGTTGTTCCGTAACGAATGATGAGCGGTTGTGGGGTTGGTGGAGCAACTGCTGTGGAACTGGTTTGCCTCGCAGCAAAGACACCAAGTACCTTTTGTACGGTAGTTGGTTGAGCCGGCTCCTGTTTTTGAGTGGTCTCTTTTCGCACTTTGGCGCTTTCCGTAATTCCTTTAGGTTCTTTGGTTTTCTCTGCTACTGCTTTTATCTCAACCAGCTCATTGGGAGGCGCCGTTGCCGGACTGATCACTGGAGGTTGGCGTTTCACAAAGACACCTTCCATACGATGTTGCCGTGGTAGAGGTGAAACTGTTGGAGTTGCAACTGGCGTTTCAGCTTTTCTTTTTTCTGGCGTCTTCGCTGGACTGATGACTTCTATCGGAGGTTCTTTCTGCACAGGAGTTGCTTTCTCCTCTTTCTCAGTTGTCGTAACGACTCTATCTGAAGTTGTAGTTGTGACTTTTTGCGGCGTCGGCACTTCTGGAGGTGCCTCTTTCTTGGCCGGGGCTGGGTTCTTTTACCTCTTTCTTCGGTGCCTCTTCCTTTGGTGCCTGTTCCTTTGCTGCAGAAGGTTTCTCTTTCTGTGCTGCGAATTGCTGTTCGATTAGTGCATTAGGAGGTACCATTGCTGGGCTAATGGCTGGGGGTTGGCGTTTCACAAACACACCTTCCATACGATGTTGCCGTGGTAGAGGTGAAACTGTTGGTGTCGTGACAGGCGTTTCAGCTTTTCTTTTTTCCGGCGTCTTTGCTGGACTGATGACTTCTATAGGAGGTTCTTCCTCCTTTGCAGCTACCGTGGGCTCCTTCTTCTTCGCTGGAGCTTCAACTTCACCTTTCTCATGCGCCTTTACAACAACCTTTTCTGTAGTCTTTTCTGTAGTCGTAGTACTGACTTTCTGCTGTGAAAGCTCTTGCGGAGGTGGTTCCTTCTTGACCGCAGCTGGCTCTTTCCTCGCTTCCTTTGCTGTAGAAGGTTCCGCTTTCTGTGCTGCGAATTGCTGTTCGATTAGTGCATTAGGAGGTACCATTGCTGGGCTAATGGCTGGGGGTTGGCGTTTCACAAACACACCTTCCATACGATGTTGCCGTGGTAGAGGTGAAACTGTTGGTGTCGTGACAGGCGTTTCAGCTTTTCTTTTTTCTGGAGTTTTTGCTGGACTAATGACTTCTATGGGAGGTTCTTCCTCCTTAGCCACTTCATGCTTCCTAGTAACAACTTTATCACTCTTAGTCGTAGAACGTCTTTTCTTTTTGCTTGATTTTACTCTTCGATGTGCCCTCGCCTCATCTGCTCCACGTCGAGAAGACTCCTTCTCTACTGGGAGCGGTTCCAGCTTCTCCTGCCTTTCTAGCGCTTCAGTTGCTCCACGAGAGGAAATGTCCCTTTCGACTGGAAGCTGTTCCATCTTCTGTACCATTGTTTCTGGAATCTGTTCCTTCTTTTGTTCCACTTCTTCCCTATGTGCCACCACTTTAAGACCCTGCTCTGGTAGGGTATTGAGAATGACTTGCTCTTTGCCAACTTCTGGTGGTTGTCTGATGTCGGCGGACTGCCAGATATCATGTTGTTTTAGATCAGCTAGAACTACTGTTTGTTCTTTTTCTGCTACTGCTACTTCTTCTGCTCTTTGCTGTTTCTGATGCGGATCCTCGTATTTTTCAGTTGTAACGACGACCGTCTTTCTCACTTCTTTTTCCTCCACAACATTCGTTTGGCCGTCGTCTATGATCGTTTCTTTGGTCCTTTCGGTCGTCTCTACTATTTTTCTTTGAGCACCTGGCCCGAGTTTCTTCACTTTTCGCTTTTCGACAACTTTTTCCGAATCGGTTTTTCGTTCAGGAGTTAATGGATAAGCATCGACTTTGTCGACGGGAGGAGAATAAACAGGTTCGGGTTGAGAAGCGGCCATTATCGATAAATCAACGAGTTGTTCACGAGTCAAATAATTGGGCGGAACTGGTGTAAGGTAAGCTACTTCATCAGGAGGAACGACACGTTCGCGTGAGTTCTGAAACGAGATGATGCTAGTGCAACTGAGTGCAGATGAGTTGGAGCAGCTGGTGTATGCTAGGGCGCTCATGTCCTTGTGGGGACATCCAAGTGAGTGAGCCAATTACTGTGCTTGGGACTAAGCCCTCAGGCAGGGGAAGGGATCCTGTGGGAGCATGCAAGCAATATGTGTTCTCCCTGGCGTTTCTCCCCTCTAGATCCAGGCCCCACCTGCATCGGCCCTGCTCCCCAAGGACATGAGCGCCCATGCTAACAACCTCCTATTTGACAACTCATACCTGAATGACTGCCACCGGCTCCAGTGCTGCTACATCTACTGGTCTCCTGTCTTCGCCCTTAAAGAACCTGACTTCAATCTTAAATAACTAGCAGAGCCATCTCAAGTGTTACTTACAGCGGCTTTGTCTCGGTCCTCAGGATCTACAGGATCTCCTTTATTTCCTGAAAAAGCAGCTCCCATTGCGATGAAGGTAGCGACAATAATGCATACCGTCACAGCAGACTCCTTTTATACGGACGATTTATCAGACATTGTTTTGGATGATCCTCTACAGATTGCAGGCGGTAGTTCATTCGAACATCTCGACTGCGTGGCCGCGGTCCATCAAATTTCCATGGGCAGTCACATCAGCACTTCATCGTTTCCATCATTTCCAAGCATTTTTTCAATTGCTTGCATTTTTTATCATCTCAATCATTCTCATCAGTCTTTTCCTTTTTTGGAGAGGGAGCAGTCTGGTTTACAGTCGTTACTATCGGCCAACAACCACCGAGAAGTTGATGATTTGGCACTCATGTCGTTAGAGAGGACATTGAAGGGTTATAGAGCGTTCATAGGTGGCGATCGTACGTGCGATTAGGCGAGTAGGCGAGTAGGCGATAAGGAAGGATACGTATTGATTTGTTGCTCCGCCCATTGAGCGATCGCCTAATCGCCTAATCGCGCTACTCGCCTACAACGCTCTATGGGCGGAGCAAACCAATCAATACGCATTTGGTTATCCTGGCCTAATCACCTACTTCCTAATCACCTAACTCGCCTACTCGCCTAATAGCATGTACGATCGCCAACTCTGAACGCTCCATTACAGAACTCGAGATTGAGCCCCTGGGAGGGGAAGAGTTCTGGAGAAGGACGGAGCAACCTGCGTTTCACCCCTCACCTGGGCTTATACCACTTGCTAGTGGCTTTTGAATGCCCCGTTTCGAATGTTCCCATTAAAGACATGAGCGGTGTTAGTCTGATCAGTCAGAATTCGAAAACGACATTCAGATGCTTTTTAGTTGGATGGGACACCTTGATCGTGGATTAAAGCAAAGCTCAATCTAAGAGCTACCTTAATATGTAAACTCGAGTAATTGAATGGCAATGAACATTTCTATCCGGATCATTAGACGCTAAGCTCAAATCTGCTTTCCATATTTACTATAGCGAGTCTGTGAACTTATGGAGCGTTCATAGTTGGCGATCGTAGAGCAATTAGGCGTGTAGGCGATTAGGCGAGTAGGCGATAAGAGGAAGGATACGTATTGATTTGTTGCTCCGCCCATTGAGCGATCGCCTAATCGCCTACTCGCCTACTCGCCTACAACGCTCTATGGGCGGAG